TTAAGCTAATTTTAATTAAATTTAATATGAAGATACAAGGTAACTTCATAACGGAAATAATCTATGTTTTCAAAATAATCTGGTAGAGGTAAAATGTTGTGCGAACATAGTCGCGAGTAACTGTTAGTACAAAACAAATATAAAAATAAAAATTTGTGTTAATTTCGAATAAAATATCCGGAATACAGAACACTTTTTCGTTGACGGAACGGCGCGTTTCATCCTAGTTAGAACAATCGATTTTATATTACCGAATTTATATTATATCTTACTTCAAGAGGAAAATTTATTCAATCAAATCACATAATAAAATCGTTTCTACATTTTAAAATAAACTTCACACTATTTATAGTTCGCAAAACAAAATAATCTAGTCTGGCACATAAGACGATGTAGTACTTACACACTGAAAGTACCTACGACACAATCAAGTCCGCTGAATTTCGTGATAAATAAAGTCATGAATAAGCAATACTCACGCTACCCTCCCGAATTCGTCCCTGGGCACTGCCTTGTCCCCGGCTCCCGTCTCTGCGAGCTTCGCTCTGAAGGCCGCCACCCGGGCTGCTATCTCCTCTTTCGGCAACCTGCGTAGCCAAACCATCGACACACTCATTATTAATCATTAATTTGAAATTAAGCGCGTTCGTACGCACCGAGCACGTCAGCCGCGTGTCCCGGCGCGGCAAGACTGCACTGCATCAACAAGTTTAATGTAATCAGTTAATAATAAATACTCATTGAAAACGCCGATCCACCTGAACCTACCAATGCATGATAATCTAGCTGCAATTGCAATCGTGTAGGAATTACTTTTGAGACCTATAAAACAGCGATAAGGCGCGCTCGCCGCGCGGCACTAAACTAAAGTAACTCGATGAACTACGTGGGGTGTTATGGACTCGCTCGGTTGAATTATTGATTTCACTCCGGCGCAACAAGGGCCGCCGCCCTAAACGAGGGGTGCGTGACCATTGCTATATCTACAGGGGTGCTTTTTCTATTACACAATAAGAAAAACAAAGGGATTTTATTAGGCCGCAAATCGATAACAGCATGTTGCACTGGATCAACATGTGATCAAATTAAAAATGTTACAGGTTGCTTTTATAAATATTGTTTATTGAACTTTCTATTTTTTATGACTCTAATAGTGGAGTTGATGGGCCGTCCCATAAAAAGTTGTTATGTTAAAACTACTTATTGTACTTCAATACGTTAAGTATATAAATATACGTTACATACTACAGTTATTATAGTTTGTTGGGATAATCTTGGTAGAAAGCAATTGAAGGATTTTTTTTATAAAATTGCACTATTTTTTAGTTGCGAGTTGTGTCTGTGTATATACCCATCCTTTCAATTCAATTTGTATGATTGATTATGAATTTTGTAGTGTGTGTGTGTTCATCAAGCTATTAAGAATTCATTCATTCATTTAAACTATAACATACACAGTAAAATTACAGTCTATGAATATCTTATTGTTAGTCCTTAATAATGGCAACGTCTGAGCGGTACTTAGGGTGTTGCGTGCTGACGAGATGTCAAGCTTTCGAAATAGCTAAATGTGTGTGCCACGAAAGCCAGTTCCCTCAAACATATAGGATTAAAAAGGAAACATATATATTATATATGTCTCTTTTTAATCTATATGTTTGAGGGATATGTTGTACGTATATATATATCTAATACACAAAATTCCGGCTTTACCGATTTATGAAATTTTTGGGTATGTCTAACCCTAAATTTTACCCTTCCAACATCGACTCCTATTTTTTTATTTTAATTTATATGGCAAACAACATTTGCGGAGTCAGCTAGTATGTAGTATACACAGTAAAATAATGTGGTAGTAAACATAATATGTAAATGGATGATTTATACAGTTAAAAATTGTTGAGGAGGAATTTTACGAAATTGTGTCCTCAAATGAATACAGACAGGATACTGTTTTATTTTAATTGACGTGGGTCTAGCCGCGGTATATGTCTACTGACAGCTAGCAGTAATAAATTATATTTTAAATTATAAAAAATATTAAGGAGTACACTAATAGATTTCATAGATGGCCGGGTGCCAAATGTGAAAATAAATGTTACTCTAGAAACGATTGATACAGCAACTAGGACTAATTGTCAATAAGATAAAATACATTGAATAAAAATAATAAATAATGCTGCCTAACAATTAAATATTCAATTAAATTATTATATTTTATTCATTCAATTATATTTCAGTAATTGATACTGAAATAAAAGATCAATGAGTGTTATGTAAAAAAACTGATAGAAATTTATTCTTGAGGTCATTAATATTTTTATTCTAATGAATTCATATATTTGGTGTATTCACATATATTTATATATATATTTTTATTTAAAAATTTTAAATTCTACATTTGTTGAAAAGAATTACAGGAGTAACAGGCAAGTGTTTTAATCTTTCTTCATGATTCAATTTTAATTCCAAATTAGTGATCAATAAAAAAAGTGGATATTCAAGTGCTTAAATTTAATATTATTGGTATAAAGTCTATTTCTTTTTTAATGCTGTCAGAATGCAAATTGTCAAAGTTATATTTTGATACACATTCATTAAAGAATGGTTGGGGAATGAATACATGAAGATGATGTATTAAACAAATTTTCTTCAACAACACACATTTTATAATAACAACAAGATTAGTAGAAAGTTAAATATAATATAATATATTATCTGTTTGTTTAAATGTTATCATGGTAAACAATCTCAAGATCTTTTTATATGAAATACAGTTATATAAAATAGTTTATTAATTCTAGCTGTGTGTAATACTTGTATGATTATTAAAGTAGAAATATTCTTCATTGAAATAAACATAATATTGGTCAAATAGCCGGTTTGCCGACCACTACCTGTTCACTGAGTTTTATGAAATAGTCCAATAATATGTTTCAATTAAAAGCATTGAAAGAATTTATTCTTAATAATGAAAATGCATGACTATCCTATCTTTGTCCTTTAGTAGCAGAAATTTAAAAAATAGAACATGTTCAATATCCATCAGTGAGCTGATGAATTTGACACAGATTTTAATAGTTACAGTTGAGTTTTAAGGAAAAAGTTAGTGAAAAATTTGTGAGGTGGCAAATTTTTAGTCTTAAGTAAAAAATATTTTTATATTTATATATACAGTTTATGTATTAATGTTGGGTTTGTAGTGTTAATGTATAGTCATATTGCTATCTTATTTAACATTTGATTACAAATAATAGCAATGCAAACTGAATAAAATATGGGGTGATCCCTAATAGGTAATGGAGAATTAAAATATTGGAGGTATCAGCTGAATTTAGCAGGGTAATTATCACCAATTTTCATATTTACTATGTAATTTATCCAAAGGTTAGATTGCAACGGGCTAAATGTATAGTATAATTCAAAGTATAAAAGCTTTTTATGATGATTGTAGATGAATCAGTTACCATCAACCAACCATTTTTTACAATAATTTTTGATGTTGTATTCTAGTTATGTAGCAAAGATGATTTTATTTCTTCAAAGGTAAATGATATATTGATACAAAGAGAAAGAGTATATTAATACCTACTTAGGGTATGTTGTAAATGCTTACCCAGATGAATGTACACATCTATATATATATATATAAAACCAAATAGGTGACATTACAAATAAGAATCCCTAATAACCTAGAAGCTTGTATCAGTAAATTTAAGGATAAAGATATGACGAGAGAGACAGGACAGAGACAATACTATTGCTGGCTGAATTGATTCTGACTAATTGGTATGCTGCATGACTGGCATCATATATTTAAAGAATTACATTTAAAATATGAATACAATATTGCACAAGTATCATCATTATAAATTAATAAAAAAACTTACCCTTGCTCTTCAAGACTGTCCTCCAGTTCTGCGCATTTAACTTCAATCTTCCTCTTCCTTTCATGATCAAGAATTTCTTGGTTAGGCTGCTTATTTGAAGCTGAATCCAATTTAGCAATTTCTTCTTCGGTGCGATAATTCACAGAATCTTTTGTTTTTCTCACCGTTGCCCAATTTCTTTGTACATATCCATTGGTACCAGAGCCCCGGGGCGTCGTCAAACCGATGCCGTTGTACATTTTACTGATATATTTAACTAAAAATCAAATTTTATTCAGTTAGTTTTCGGATTTAGTGAAGTAGATAAAAACGTACAGCGCAATTTGACATGAATAATTAATATCAAAAGTTGTCACATGTTAATACTCCGGTTGTATTGATTAGCTTATTTAATAAGATCTTTGTAAGTACAAAATCATTCTCTAATCACTCACCATTTGTATATTATAGGTTTTTATAAGTCGCACGGACGATTTAATTCACGTCCATTTTGCTTTTGAACTTTTTTTTCTTTAACTAGTGATTGACTAAGTTTAATAGTGTAGCACTGTAATCGAATATCTTTGACAATCGAATAATATTTCGTATGGTAACCTGTTTGTTTACATGTTTGATTCCGTATTTCAGATTATAAGAATACATAATATAGGAACCTACGCATAAAACAGAAAAGTTTACATTTTATATGTTTAAAATAAAAAAATGACAATTTTATCAATTTTTTTTGTATAGACGCATTTCGGTCTATTTTCTTTATTACTATTTTTTACCCACCTACAATAAATTCATAAAAATTTGAAATACTTAACCTCTGAAAAAATAACAGTAACAAATATTAACTATAATAAGAACCATTTCGATCTCGTGAGCTCTCAAATAAAAAAACTCATATTATAATTGAACCATTTTTTTAAGAGCTGCGATACCAAAGACTTACACAGATATAAAAATAGTTATTTGTACCTATACAGTTATATGTATATATATACTTTTTACATTGCTTTTATATGTATAAGAATGTAATCTTATATCTTAAAAATGTTAACATTTAAAATAACATCTTTTATCAGCATTACACAAATTAATTTTTTTTTTAAGTGATCTATAATAAGTCAAGAAAATTTAGTGAGGTGTACCTTACTAAATTTTTAATTGAATCGATTAGTAAAATCGAATTAAATGCTGAAAACTTCAGAGCAAGCAGCAGAATAAACAGAAACAGATAATAAAATAAAGGAAATTAAGACATTAGAATTTGTAGGTTATGTTTTGTTTATTATTATTTTAATAAACAAAAACTGATTTACGGTCCAATTTATAATAAATTTACGAATAAAATCTAATTTAATAAACTAGAAGCATGCTGGATAAAATTTTATACAATACTGTTCTGTGTCAAACATTTTCACGATGCGGAAAGTACTTAATTGCCGGTAATATTTACGGACAAGTTGCTATATTTGAGTAAGTATTAACATTTGATTATTTTAGTAATCATCATCATCCTGACATTTATCTCATTATCGTAGTGATATTGCTGGGTACGAAGGAGAAGGATTTGTTTACTTATAAAGCTAGGACGTCTGTTTATAAGTATTTTATTTTCGAAGTTTCATTCTCTTGCACCTTTGTATTTGTGTTTTATTTCACTTGTGGTCTCTGATTACTCCCAGGATGTGAAAATATTCTACTTTAAGGCATTAAGGTTTATAATTTCTCTTTGCAGCCTTGATCGAATATTGAATCCAGTAGTAGAGCTTCTTACTGACGATTACAATAAGCCAAAACATATTTATACACTGGAGTCAGGACGACAGGTATGCAGTTTAGTTAGCACGGAGAAGTTCCTCATCATTGGATCAGTAAATGAAATATCAGGATGGGACTGGAAGGGGTTCCTTAACTTTAAAATGAATAAACCCTCCTGGGTGATAAAAATACCGGCACATTCAATTTTGGAACAGATCGATGTGAATAGTCTGTGGTTATCTGAAGATGAAAGCAAATTGTATGCAGGTTGTGGAGACAATAAGGTTTATGTGTTCAATTTAGAAGATGGGAAAACTGTATCCACTTATAGTGGTCATGAGGACTATATACATTCTATACATGGAAAGTAAGTATAAATATAGTATAATGGTTAAAACAGCCAATATAGTAGGGCTTTGTTAAGTTTGTTTTTAAAGGGGATTGCAATCTTTTGCAAAGATTTATTAAAGGAATAAATTTTAGTGTAGTGTTATAAAACTGAATATTAAGATGTATTGTGGGTTGTGACATACAAATGTTTAAGTAATGAAGCAATAGGATACCAGACATCAGTGCTCACACTTTCAGTAGTAACAATATGTCATCTATGTGACAGGAAAGGAACATAGTTTAATATTATAATTTGTGTATAATATAATCACCATAATCTTTTAACCATTGAAAACTTTCTTTATATTCAGTTTTATTTATTTATTTTATTATTATTAATGAATTTTGTATGTCCTTTTGCTGAAATATAACTTAAATTATAAATACCAAAATTTAAGCAGCCACTTATAGAACAGAGGCTGTACTGTACATTAGCTATAATTTAAAAATATCTAGAAAACGAAATATACAAAACAATACTTTATTGTTAAATTTATACTTGATTAATACTTGATTAACTAACTTATACTCTATAATAGAATTATTAGTAATTTGCTTCTTTTTTTATAGGAACAACCAGTTAATAACAGCTGGTGAAGATGGCTATGTACTACTATGGGATTCGAGAACAGGCAAGAGTCATAATAGACTAGAACCACACAGTAATAGCAAAGTAGCAAGACCTGATATTGGCAAGTGGGTAGGGTCTGCGGCATTAGGTGATGACTGGATTGTAAGTATTCTTATTAACATTGTCAACACTATTACATCATATCCATAATTATTTATTAACCAGATTTCACTCCCATGTTATGTATTTCCATGTACCACACACACCACAATGTATTTTTTTTATATAAATGTGAATGGAGTGAATGTACCAGAATGGGCTGGTTGATTCGACTTCATCTTTATGTCGTCTTCTTCCAATAGAACTCCTGGGAGTATACCATAAACATGGGAGAATAGGGTGATGCTCTATTCTACTAGCCTAAATTAAAAAATACTATTCAACATATCAGTATTGCAGTTACAGACCACACTACTCCGCTTCACCTGGTAACATTTGAAAATTTTACCTGTCAATTTAGTCTCAGAGATTAAAAAACAGACTATAACTGTGACAAAAATTATAACACATCTATTGATTGTCCTTGACTGCAAGATTACTACTATTAGCTATTACTAATTTTAGATAAAAAAACTAGATTTGTCTGTGCCTGTGTTATTCTTGAGGCAGTAGCCTTAAGACATTTATTATTACAAACATTTTTCAGGTTTGTGGAGGAGGACCACGACTCGCATTATGGCACCTTCGATCTCTAGACGCCGTCACAGTATTTGATATTCCCGACCATGGAATACACGTGTCGTTTTTCCACGACGACTGTGTTGTAGCGGGCGGTGCAGCAAAACATCTGTATCAGTTAAATTATTCCGGAGAAGTGAAAGTTGAGCTCCCTGTGTCAGCTACAACAGTTTATTCAGCTATGCTACGGACAAATCCGAACCGTGTTCTGGCTATTGCCGGATCCAGTCCAGAAATCGATCTGTGCACTACATTCAATTATAGGGACCAAGTTTTACATTTTAGATAAGGTAAAAAAATAAGTTAAGATATTGAAAATAAAATAAAAGCACATGTAACAACAGTTTATTATTTTTAACAACTTAATTCATAATTTTTTATTATTTTATTTGCAATTATATTCACTAGCCGTTACCTGCGGCTATGTGAAAAGTTATAGCTATTTTAAGGTTTGAAATACTATTTATTTTTTTACATAAAGGCGATGTTATGCAGTCTGTCTGCAACTTACTGTGGCAACATTGGAGCAAAATCAGAAGTCCTGTAGTTCCCACATACATAACATAATTTATAAGTTGTTGAAAGTTTCTGTAATAATGTAAAAATATTGTATAATAATGAATTATCAAGTAAAATTCTAAGTTTCTTTTATAAGATTTGAGATTTTTCTGGTCTACATAGACCTTACATAATAACAACATTACTACTCGTATGTTTAAGTTGAATCTACTTTTCTGATACTTTGGTTTACTACTTTATATGTACGGACAATCTCATGCATACTCATACAAGCTTTACAATACAACACTAATGTGAATACCGGTGAGGCTGTAAAGGCCAGCTGCGGCCAATATCATTAGAGTAGTCCTAAAAAAACTCATGTGAACTGGGGCTCTGTATGTCAAGAATAGACATATACACGTTCAAAAAGTAAATTCAGTAAACACAGTAATATTTACACACGTTTACAATAGTACGACGTTTCCTAAACGTATAATTTAAACAAATATTGTTGAATGAATGAACGACAATGAAAAACAAACAAATCTATAATTTTTAAAAATAACTAAAGTCCGCGTGCTGTAACATGGTGCGGTTGATATGACATTATAATTTCTGTGTCAGCATAGAAATTATAAAATAACTTTATTTTTAACCCTTAAGTTCATTTTGTATAGTATACCATACATACAACTTTATAAAATTCTATGATCACTATAAATTAATTTTTAACTTCGTTTTATTAACACATAACATTTCTGGACGTTTATTTATACTTCAAAAATAAAAATAGTCGTTTATCTGTCATAATTTTAAATCAGTTGTGAAAAATAACCATCAAGATGCGCCGCTCTGGTTTAACTAAGGTAAGTTTAATTTTATTTTTATGTTTTTAACCCTAAATATGTATGTTTATTATAAAATTCGCATGCCTAAGAGTTTGTTCTTACATATTTTTATATATATACTGTTGTCGCTATGAGAATTAGCATGTTTTTGTCGTATTTTTTACTAACGTATATTATACTATACAATGCCGCAGCTGCAGTAATCTACCTTTCGTCGATGCTGTATAGAATAATATACATTGCTAACTTCATGGGATCATAATGTTCTTGGACTTTCCTATAAAATTTAAATTGCAAGTAAATTTAAAATAAAGTTGTAGTGATGTTTGACTGCCTCGTTGATATAGTGGTTTTGGAAAGCGATAAACAAAGTTGTGGGTTTGATTCCCACAAAAAATACTACTATTATTATTACGGCATGACTATCTACCTATATAAAGAGACAAATATTATTACATACATTATTTACCTATCTATAATACAATGTAGTATGGCTTTACTATGGTGATGGTTTTTTGCATGTTTCTTTTGCTTTGGTTTTAGACTGCTATGAGTGAAAGAGCTAGGCGTATTTTATCTTTGGTGCCTGAAAAGAATGCAAATTCCGACACAAGTGACGGCGCTAGTAGCGGTGATGAAGCTGGAATGATTGGATCAGCACAGAGTTCTCCAGCGCCATCGATAAATTCCAGTCTCGAAAGGTTAAACCTCCTACAAATCTCTGATGATCAGATAGGAACGCATGTAGATGATATTTATGTCGATACAACCGATGTGCCTCTTACACCTATTCTTACTCAAGTATTTCCTAATCCATCAGAAAGTAATTATGACGCTCTACCCTCAATTTCATCTTTGCCATCTTTGCTTTCGAATCAACCAATTGCATCCACGCCTGTCAGGACACCTTTGACGCGCGCTCAAAAAATGAAGCGCAAATTTCCAGAAGCGCAAAATCTTGAAGCAGAAAAATCTTTTCGTTGGCAAAGAGCTCAATTTCAACACAAGGCTGAAATAGCAGGCCCTACATTTTTGGAACCTGTACCATCTGATTGGCCACCTCTAGATTATTTTTATAGATTTTTTACCGAAGAATTAGTAGATACTATTACCATTCACACAAATTTATATAGCGTACAAAGAACATGAAGATCTATAACAGTTTCAAGGGAAGATATACTAGACATTTTGGCAATAAATGTTATGATGGGTATTGTAGTTTTGCCATCATACAAAGATTATTGGAAAAAATCCTTTCGTTATGGCAAGGTAGCAGATGTAACAGATCAGGTCAGATCAACGATTTTTACATTTTACCAATAACTCCGAAGCCGATACATTAGATAGATATTATAAACTACGTCCTATAATTGATAGCATTCGAACACAGTGTTTATCCGTAGAAGAAGAGAACGCTTTTAGTATTGACGAAATGGTTATACCGTACAAAGGGAAGAAGTCGTCGTCAATATAACCCAAATAAGCCTTGTAAATGGGGCTTCAAGAACTTAGTCAGAGCTGGTGTATCTGGCATCATTTACGACTTCTTGCTCTACGCGGGATATGACACTTTTAGAGACATTACATTTACTGAAGAAGAAGAGACTGTGGGTGTTGGAAGCAAAATAGTTTTAGCATTATCTAAGGCCAGGCCAGGCAAGTACAATATGTGCACAAAATGTAAGGTTCACCTTTGTTATGTGAAGAATCGTAACTGTTTTTTGGAGTACCACCGCAAGCAGTAGGATGTTCAATTATTACAAATTATTATTATTCAAGAAATATTTTTTTAATAAACATTTTTTCTTCAATCAAGACAGTTATTTTTATTTAAAATCATGTAATAATCAAATAATAATAATCTTTTGGTATATGTTAAAAACTAATAGTAACATTCCAACTCTCCCTAAACATAGTAATGTATAGCATAATATACATTCCTAAAATTGCGATAATCACTACACGTGTAGCAATGTATAGAATAGTATACACCTTGTTTTTCCAAAATTATTATGTCACGATTTTTTTATTTATTTTTTTAATGTTTTATATAACCCAAAGAAGCTAACTATATACATTTTTTTTGCCATTTCTAAAAAAAGCAATCTTGCCACGATAAGGGTTAAAATTAAAATAATTTTAATAGTAATCATCATAATGAGTTATAGTAAGTAGATTGCTTGTTATAAGCCTCTCCCACATGTCACTGGTAACCAGTTCGTCCTTTCTATTTTTTTTATTGAGTAAATTATATTTTTCCACAAACAGCAGATGTCTATATGTATAAATTTTAGAGATTCCTGATTTATATGCCTGTCAGTCGTAGCATGTTATAGCGCGCGGAGTATAATCGACTATGTCATCATACTATACAAAAAAAAATAGATTTAATACGCCTCTGTTTGGCTCATCACAATTATGTACAACTAGCAACGCGCCCTTTGCACAAGTCCAAATATTGTGGGCATCGCTAATCAAAAAATATACTTACAATCTACATATATCTATTACTCGCTGTCTCAATACACAAAAAGATAGTCTTATCAATTTATATCCTTTATTTTTGTAATGTATTAACCATTTTTTAGTTTTTCCATTATACACAAAAAGTCAAAAACTTGCATGGGGATGGATTATTAGTGATATAATGAAGACTAGTGACCCCATTGTTAACAAACTATCATATCATGTCGCCCTTCACTTGGTCCCTCCTGAAAGCCATCACCATTGGTTTTTTCTGATTTTTTTTACGATAGGGTAACTGACCTGACCTCGTGCTCACCTTATCACCAATTCACAAATATCCATTAAAAATCCACTTTATAATTACTTTAGATTAATGTTTCAAAGCGTGGCGTCATCGGTAGTCTAACGCTGAAGCACATTCGATGAGCGCAGATTCGATTCCTCGCACGATGCAAACATTTGTATTCATTAGTATGACTGTTTGTTTCAGTCTGAGTGTTTTTTATTTATGATAATGGAATGGTGCACACGCCTTCAGTAAAACCGTTACGCAGTCGGGTCACCAGTAGAGGATAATAAGATGAACATGAGGTAAGGTAAGTTAGCCCATCGTGGGAAATTCACCATGATTTAATACGATGTTTTCAGGGGAACCGCGTGGAAATCAACCAGAAAGGTTCATTGCTAGAATTGGGTTTATTAGTCCACATTTAAAAAAAAATCCATTCCCTATTTTCTATGTATTCACAAAATCAAGCTCGGCTTAGCTTGGGACTAGATGGCGCTGTGTAAAAGATAGTAACTGCATCTCATCTATCTATTATCTATTAATATTAAATGTAACCATGACCAGCAATAGCTGCAGGTATGAACCCATGGCTACCATCTCTCTTCTTCACATAGAACCAGTCAACACTCCCATCAGCTTCAACCCCCTTCCCTTGTACTAACGTCACCACATCCCCCTGTTGCACAGACAAGGTCTTATTTAAATCACTGCCTCTATAATCACTAGTCACCACTAATAACGTTTGTCTTTTCACTGTTAACTCCTTAATATTTTCAACATCGGGTACCCTATCAATGTTGGAACAAACAGATTTGGTCCTTAAGTATAGGCTGTCAAAGTTTTTTTCTGCGCACAAATTTTTCAATTTCTTTTCATTGCGGGGCCGGTATTGACACTCTGAACGAGTTCTGCCGCGGAGCTGCTCCTTCTCTATGTCGGTGAGGTTGCCGCATGGACGGGGATATATGTCTGTACTGCTCTCCCAGCACGGGGTTTTTCTTTCCGGTGTCCTGTAAGGTATGTAGTTAACCTATTATTAAATACAGTTGTAACAGTATTTTAGTTATCCTCTAACATATGAATATTATTATAGAATATACTGATAAAATAATAAAACATTAATTACATTAAAATAAAATATTGAGAGCGTCGTTGTCTAGTGGTCTACTACCTCGTCTAGGCCCAAAAAGTTTTGGGTTGAAATCTGGCCAACAGTAAATCTTTGTGTCAATTGACGGCCTCGGTGGTCTAGCGGTTTAACACTGTTTCACTTTCGATGTTTGTGGGTTCGATTCCTCGTTTGTTTGCATCGGTCTGGGTGTTGTCTTTGTATATTACATTTACAAAAAATAATATCTAAGGATTTATATCAGATGTCTAGTACCCACAAAACAAGCTCTGTTTACCGTGGGACTAGATGGCGCTGTATAAATTGTCCACAGTTATTAATTTACTTATAGAATATAGCGATCGTACCTATTAGGCAATATTCCCAGAGGCAGACATGCACTATACAGTACATAGCCCTCTTCGCCGTGTGGAGTCTGTACATACAGCCAGAGTTGGTTCTTGAACACTGCGTTGACGACGGTACCCAGGGGGAGAGTCAACTCTCTCTGCTTGTCCTTCTGCGTCTGGTATAGCGTGGTGGGGTACGCCACCACTACTGGAATGTTCCCCGGTCGGTCTATAGATGCCTGGAAATAATATTAAAATTTATGTACTACTGTTAGGGTCGATATTAAATTATAACTATTAATGGCTTTGTTCCTATTAAATGTTATTACATACTTTAAAAAACATGGCAATGTGGTTAATTTATTTCGGTCGAAGTGGAACCGAGAGGTAGGTATACCAGCGAAATCTCTACTATTTTGTAAAAGATCTTGGCTTGTCAAGAACTGCAGTAAGTTACGAGTTAGAACGCGTTTTTAAAGCTGCACTAGCGGGTTTGTAATACATTTAGCTGGACAGGCCGAGAAACACGAGCGGTGAAGGCCCCTTAAAGCTACACCCGGGTCACAAGTCCTGGAAACTGCTCGGAGTTTTCCTCGCGGTTTTCTACCAGATGAGCACTCAGCTAGTTTGCTATTCATGTTACATATATAAAAAATATATATTGAAGACCTCGCTTATCTTGTGGTTAGCAGTTTGAACCGCTGTACTTCCGATGGTCGCGGGTTTGTTTCCTTGCGAGATTTTCTATCAGAGGAGCACTCAGCTAGTTTGCTATATCATGTTATGTAAGTGTATGTTATATAAAAAAATATATATTGAAGACCTCGCTTATCTTGTGGTTAGCAGTTTGAACCGCTGTACTTCCGATGGTCGCGGGTTTGTTTCCTCGCACGGTGCAAACATTTATATTCATGACTATGATTGTTTGTATTGGTCTGGATTCTATATATGTTATGTATTTAAAAATAAAATTTAATATTTATACCAGCTCCCTTGTACCTATAACATAAACTTAGGCCTAGATAGTGCTGTGTAGATTGTCTAAGTGTATTCTTATTATGTAGGTGTATCTGCACTTGTTTCTTAGTCTAATCAAGACATTATTTTGATCTTGTTTACATTCTCATATTTTTAAACCAGTAGATAATCTTCTTTGATTACTTATAACTAAAGCACAGGTTTCCGCGGATAGCGATTAGCACATTAGCAGGATAGGTGAGATAGATACCTTAAGCGGGATAATAATAATCTTAAACAGACCCAAGTTAAAAAGCTAATTCTGTTGTATTCTTAGTATCTTTTAGTTTTATTTAGGTAGATAATGAAGAAAAGTGTTCAACAAATAATTTTCTTAGCAATTATGTAGTAATTTATCCGGATTGGTAGCAAATAAGTATACGTTCCCAATTTAGTGTATTGATACCTAAGTATTACGAATTCAAAATGTTGTATAAGTCAGACTTTAGTAACATTTTTTGTTGTTATTATTATTTATATATAATCTGTTTCCACTACTCCAAAATAGCTCTTAGTCATTAAAAGGAGGTTGACTGTAAGAAATCCCTCATTTGGGATAAGTACGCTATTATACTATTTATTTCTTAATATTGGTGTATTCCCTCAAGTTGTTGTTATTTACTGCACCTTAAAGTGAAAAAATAAGTGTTTTTACATCTGTTTGTTTGTACAATAAAGTGTTACAAACAAACAGATTTAGATAATACCTAGGTATTAATTTTTAGTCGTAAGTATCTATATTTTACTTTAAGGCGTAAAACACATGATAGTGTTTGTCTTTAGTATTAATATCTTTAAAACTATACTAGAAATAAATACTTTATTTCTATAAATATGTATGTTAACAAGTTAGTTTTGTTAACCCAGTAAATCAAGTCAATACAAATGACGTTGCGATCAAAATCGTGTTACTTATAAGTAAGTTTTAATACTTATATTTCTAGAACTTTCTGGTATTAAAATTTAAAAAAAAAACGGTAATAATATAGAGGAAAAGGTCAGAGACAAATTACAGGAACATTGTAAGGGCAACTTTTAAATCTCCCATGACGTATCATATTACTCGCCAGAATGCTCTGGCGCAATTAACACCGTGGCGCTTAACCTCAGGAAGATATATTGTTGTTTTAAATAAACCGCATTGATGAATGGACCTGTCCATTCGTGGCTATACGACGGAAACCATGTGACACAAAAACCGTTCAAAAGAACACACGCAATACGGTATATTATCCCAAAAATACCCAAATTACCGTTGTTAATAATTCTGCTCCAAATCCAATAGCGAAAACCATTATGAACCGTCAGAGAGAATTTCGAAAATTCAAAATGATGTGCAATTTATTGGCTTGTCCAATTTTCCGCCAATTTCGCGGCTTCATTGTCTGATCGGACTTGCTCCGAGGTACAGTAAAAAGCTAAAGGATGTATACCATAATGTCATAATAACATTGCCGACGTGAATAATGATTGAGATTTACCAGTACATTCAAAATCGTTCGTACGAAATATCAGTTAAGAGTAACCGCAAATAAACATACAAAATCGACAGTTTGTTTAAAATTTAAAGTTGAGTACTTTTAATTAATAATATGTTAATGAATTATAATTTATAAGTATTTTGTCCAGCAATGGAATATTAAATAGGCTACTATTTGGTTGCCCACTGGTGGGCATGTGAAAACATCTATAAATTATCGTAAAATAAATTATAAATGTTAATGCCTGGAATTCTGCCGTGCAGAAAATCATATTAATCTTTTGGTTGTTTTTGAAAATGTTAAATTGCGTTTCCAATAGTAAAACTTGGTTATATGAGAGTCACGATGCTGAAATTATTATGGCATCATTGTACTGAAACTTATTCAACTTACCTCACTTAAAAAGCTATCCAAATCTCTAATGTCATAGCCAAACTTGTCGCTTTGATGTTTTTTCTTCCTCCTGTGTCGATGTCTGTGTTTTCTCCTCATGTACTCCTCGGTGCCGACACTTGTATCAGAACATGTATTCTGTCCGTTCACAAACTCATCGCATGCACTCTTAAACCTATAGTTGTGATAATATTCGTTACGACCCATCACTCTGTTCTTCACCTCCCCACTGTTACACTTCACTTGATTGACTTCATTAAACTTTTGGTTGTGTCTCTGTTGTCGATCTACATCATTTCCGTTGATTTTTCTTGGTTTGTCATCAGTTTGTATTTTTTGCGGCGACTTGTTATTTTCTAGATTTTCCTTCAGCACCCACGTTAAGGATATTTTGGATTTATGCCTCTTAGCTAGTGGTGTCGAATGCCATAAACCCATTTCTTTGATCTCTGCGTATTCAACGTCGGATTGTTCTTCTTTATCTTGGTATGTTATTTTGCAATTAACTAATAAATCTAGGACCTCACATGGCGCTGCGTTAATCTGAAATAATTACAGATCATTTTAATAAGCGCCACTAGTCAATTTGTAGTATATTTAACTTCAGGATTCTAACTAAAAATTAATTACCGAATTTTGTAACTCTTGCTGCGATCGTTGGCCATTATCGTCACTATCAGACTCCCGGTACGGTGGTGGCAAATCTTTGAACGTAATCTCTGCAAGCAGAACACGCCGATTAAAAATTACAATCGATCGTAACTGTTCAACGGACGTGATTAATGTTATTACCACAGTCAGCTGAGCGGATTATTGGGCATAAATAATCGGAGTGCAGTCAAAACAATGCGAGTGGGCGAGAACGCGAAACAATGGCTTGCCGAGGGGATGCTCGCTTCCGGACTACCCGGCTGGCTTCCGTGACGAGTGCACTACACGCCTCTGCGCGCCTCACGGCCACTCTGGGCTGTGAGAGTGCCGATCGGCATAAATCCCTGAATGCGCCAGCGCCGCCCACCGTCCGCGACTTCGCGCCCAACACTGGCCGCTCCTCGCTGATACACTATCGACTTGACCCTCTAAAAAATCTCGAAACATTCTCACGGCGGTGAGCGTGCGTACGTCGTACTCATGCGAACGCAATGGACTACGCCGAATCCGCCTCAGGACACGATTTGCAGCCGATACAAACCATCGGTCGCCAGCGTGCTAAATTATGCATTTGCGTAATTTGTGACACTCTATGCAGATGATACAACAGATTTTGAAGCGCGATTATATCGTTTTAATCCGTTACCATTATGTATAGTAGGTAACAAATATAAATAGGTAGATTTTTTTTTATTATATTATATCATGAAGCAATTTTGATGATATATTTTTTACAATATTAATGTAGATTTATAAGCGAATCCGAACCAAATGCTTGGAGTCTATTTTCTTAAAATAATTATTCAAGTGTTAATACAAACTAACATATCCATGTGGCAAAATTTAGTAGTCACAGTGACTAATAGCTAATATAGATACAGACGAATTTCTAGAAGCAGCACCGGAAGCAGAAATTGATATAACGGAAAAGCCTCATCACTGCTTTCAGTCATATTTTAGGGAATCCAATGATCAATTGGATTATGTAGAACGAACAGTACCCATTTAATCTAAGATGAAACTGTAAAGCCATTCGTCACGAAACTGTAATTAGATGGTTGAAGTGAAACAAAAAGCTTTGAAAGGCGAGACGTTTAACACTTCTCACGCCTTTGAATTAGATACCTTGGTGTTTTGACACCTGTGTTTGCATTTCGTTAGTGCAGTTTTATCCAGAGTGGTTGGGTTTGAGGATTCTCTAAATTGAGTCAATAAGTTTTACTCTTACCTATGCAGATAATAGATATTGAATGTATAATTATGTAGTATTATAATATATGTGTATTTTCGTTATAGTGACTTTTAAGGGTTCTGTCTTAAAAAGATATTTATTTTTGCGTTTTCTGTTTCAATTACTGCAGAGTAATTTAATATATTTTTCAATTAAAATACATACCAAGTGTGCAATTATACGTAAGTATAATATTAATAAATAAATACATATATAAATATAATTAATATGAACTATAATAAATATTACTGAGTAAATAGATCTGTACAATATTGGATATTGGGTACATTATTAGGCAAGGCAAAGCTTAAAGGGACATAAAACGTCAAACTTTTTAATTGTTTATCAAAGAGGATTATAAACTAAAATATCTTCTGTCTTAGATAATATTTTAGTGTGAATGTGTCAATTATATCAATTCATATCTCAGCAGACCTGCGTCACATAGAGACCAGTAGTTTAATAGAGACAGGTTAAGTTGTGATATACATGGTGATACATGGTCTATCTATATCTATAACGTAACAGGTTGACCGCCAATGTCTCGGACATGGTCGGCGCGGCCGCAAAGCGTTCCTCTTCTCGCTATTCATCAACACGTGCCTAATGAGCTGCGCGGGCGCATCGGGTACTTACATCACGCATGCACCTCGCGAATTATTTACTATGAATATTCAGATTTCATAGTTCGTTCACAAACAGTAACTGATGCTACATCTTTTGTTGACTAATGATTATTGAAATTTGCTATTTTTTTGTGTTTGTTTTTATTTTAGTACCTACGCTTTATTCAGAATTTTTTAATGGAATTTACTATATTTTGGCAAATTATTCTTCTACTAGCTGTGCCCGTGGTTTCACCCTAATGAAATTTATTAGTTATTATGCTGTGATAAGCTATATTACTGTAATGAACCATAACAAAATCCGTTCAGTAGTTTTTGCGTGAAATAGTAACAGACATCCATCTATCCATCCATGTACCAATCCATACTCACAAACTTTTGCATTTATAATATTTGTAAGATTACCTTAGTTTGCAATTAAAATTTAATCCAATGGTTCAGAATATAAGCATTAGTTTTGCTTGATATTTAAAACGTTGTAATGTACTTAAACATTTACTTAAAGCTTCACCGTTGAACGATCGGCGCTATATTTTTGGTGATTTTCTTTTACATAGATAGTGTCAACTTCACAACTTTCTTTGCGTCGCCGCGTGCAATATATAAAAAAAAACTTGCAACAGCAGTAACAGTTTGCGTACTCTTTACATTCCTCAAAATTGGAAAGTGAGACGGAAGTTCGACGAACTGGTGTCACATGAAGAGTCTAGATAGTGTTTATTGAGTTCCGGATAAAATGCTAAGATGATTTCAGAAGTATTAGATACATGTAGGTATGCAATAGAATCATAGACAAAATTATGAATTGTTATTATGATATAAGCACCGTCATCATTGGTTCACTTACACCACGGTGATGTAGCAATTTAGCACATTTTATCTTGTCTGCGAGATTTTAATAATAATGTAGGTGTAATAAAATTTTAATCTTTCTTTCTATAAAATAACATACAAGTATTGAAACAATCAATGTGTGTGAATTTAAAAATAGTTTCTGACTAACTGTCCTGTGAAAGAAAGACCGATAACAAAACTAGAGATTTTTCGGAAGGACGGCGCGGTGAGCTCGCTCTCTGCTACGTTGGATTCAAATATAGGAATGTGGAGTGTTGCGTTGATGTCATTAATCAAAGACCGGGATTAAAAAGGTAATTAATATATGCAATTATATTTTTGTAACTTTGTAATACAAGCTCTGCTTAACTTGGGCCTGTATGACGCTATGTGAGTTTTGAGATCTTATACATTTTTTTTATACTACGTAGTTGGCAAACAAGCATATGGCCCATCTGATGGTAAACTGTTACCATAGCCTATGGACGTCTGGAATACTAATAGTGCGCGTTGCCAACCCTTAAGAAAACTTATTATATTCTTCTTGAAAAACCCATGCTGTAGTCTCTCAAAACCTCGGCAGGTAGATCATTCCATTCAATAGTAAGTGTACGCGGGAGGAAACTCCTCTGACTGCACTGTCCGTGATCACTTATTTTATAACATACCAGCAAAGTATTGCCGGCAATTTCATTGTTCATATAAATATTTTCATCGGTCTGTCAGTTCTGTATTGTACACATTTAAACTTTCTCCAGCCCACGGATACGCATTCATCTCTCTCTTATTTCACGGTTTTATTACGATCAATTATACTTTTATGACTGTGTGCTGTAACAATTGCTGTTATTTAATTGCAGTGATTACCTAAGAAGCTTTGTTGATGGAGTACTCTTTGTAAGTCTGTCTTGTCGCATCTCTGTCCTATATCTATGGGTAATTGAATGTTATTATTATCTTCTGTAGTAACGGTTGCCGATACATAACGGCCTCGGAGGTCTAGTAGTTTAGCAATACACGCTTTACTGATGGCCGCGAGTTTGATGCCTCGTACTGTACAAACATTTGTATTAATGAGTATGTTATAAGTCTGGGTGTTTTCTATATGTATTTAAAAAAATGTGTAATGTGTGTCTAAGAAAGGCATGTAATAGAAGTAATATATGTTACAGAGTTCAAGACTTCCCTTAACTCGACACATATCAAATACATTGTCACCCGCGCGTAAGTAACACCTAAGGATAAACACCTAAATAGAGGATAATGAAACGGTGCACTCGCATGCGTTAACGGTTTGCGCTGACGAGGCACTAGTGGAAAATGATAAGAAAAGTATGAGGTCTGGTCAGTTATCCCATCATGGTAATTCACGATTTCTAGGGGGAACTGCTTGGAGGTTAACTTTACATGGGTCGCTAATAATAATGTTATTATATGGGAAATAACATTGTTAGGTAGGATTGTTAACAATATTGTAAATAGTAAAAGATAGTGAATAAAAAACGAGCAAAAAGCCTGGAAATTAATATCCGAGACGCTGTGTCATAGCCATAAGAACCCTAGCTAGACGACGGCCCACCGAATGTAAAGCGATGGGGATGTGGGCTATTTAGAAAAAGAATTAATTAAATCCACATTCCTAACAATCCCCTTCCCCCACTCGTGAGGATTAAGGAATGACAATAGCATTCCGATCCGTTCCGTCTTATGACTTGCAATCTCTCTTATAAGATATAAAATGTGTTATAAGAGAGATTGCAACTCATCGAAATAACTTGTAGTACGTTACGCGTTCCTCCTACACGGCAGAAATTATGTAAGTCTTGTACATACATACGTGTAATTGCTTTCTCTACATCCAAACATAATGTGGACGTCAAATTATGATTGATTTATCTCTTTATGTAATCTTTATTTATTGCAATATTATTTTTATATACCCTTAGGGCTATAGAAAATCGTAAATAAAACAGCTAGGGTTTCGAGTTTGAGATAATACATAAAAAGCATTTTGCTGCTATTGTACCGGTCGTGTGATTCCTCTCTCTGAAATGATGCCACAATATTTTTGGTGGAATATATTAATAAATAATGGTAAACCAATAATAATCAGAAATCAAACAATAAACATAACAGCAATACATGTATAGGGTGTTAGTGTATATATAATGAAATAACAAAAAAGAAAATTAAAGAATAGTCAATGACAACAATCAATAACAACGACTGGGCAAATGCTGGGAATATGGATCCCAACGTTAATTTTGAGTTGGACCTGAAAATGCCACGTACGGATATCCTACGCACTACGTAGGATATCCTTAGTTTTACTTGACTTTATGTCGAATGCAAATAAGCTACATGACTGAATTTACTA